TGAAATCATCCAAATTATTCTAGTGATGGTGTATGGAGTTTAAAAACACAGTGGAGCACTTCCTGTATTGCCTCATGACATCACAAGTTGTAACAGAGTGTTTTCTGTTTGAGAGAAGAAATAAGCCTAAATACGCAGGGTTTGTTAAATATGCGTGAATGAAACAAAAGTTTCATTCAGCAATTCTCACTTGAACTGGGCCTATTTGAAAATACACATAAATAGCACATTTTGTGTTTTGAAAAGTAATATCATTTATTTTCAATAAGATATTTCAGATTCCCAAGTGACTATAACTGTGCCCATGTTAGGTCATGGTTACAGTTAAGATTAAGATTTGAGAACTTGAGAACCAGATTTTTAAGGCAGTAAAAAAAATTAAGTAAGGGTTCATGAAGCCTGGGACCTATAGGCTCTACGAAAAACCTGTATTATTTTAGTAGTGATATTTCTTTATTTTCATATTTATACCATACATGTAGCATAATCCATCTCATTCTAACTTAAACACTATGTTGTGAACAAAGCCATTTCACTGTTTAAAAATTCACAAGGTACAACTCAAAGTCATTAAGTAGTCGCTTGAACGATTGTTAATTCCCAAAGCTCTTTGCCACACACTGTACATGATGCAGCGTGTTGTGCATCCCTGTGGTCTGTGCTTTGTGCTTTTACAGATCAGCGTCATGTGTTCAAAGCTGCTTCCTGTTGAGAAGCTTAATGAGATTTGAGGGAAGATTTTAGCATGTTACATTTTTACAAAATAAGGGCTTTTCTTAACGTCTGATGCAATTTGAAGAAATCACTGTTTCAGCTTTTTACGTAATGGGGAGGAAACTTTTTAGAAGACACAATTAAAGTTTTGATCCTTCCTTTTTAATTGTGGGATTCAGATGTTCTTTCTAGTTTACTGCAGCTTACATCACTTTTTGGAACAAGTTAATAGTGATTCTAAATGACCTTTATAATGCACTGTTTAAAAATTCATACACTGTTTGTTTGTCTTTTTTTAAATTCTAATATTCTATTCTGTATTTGAAGCTTGTTGTACACAGTAGGCATTATGTATGGCATTTCGTGAACATAGCATCAGTTCTGTTGTCTTCATTAGGCCTGTAAAGTGATATTGTGCATGCTTTTACACTACAAACCTACACCATCTCCACAATCATTAAAGGTTCTATCTTGCACAAAATTTACCCTTGTTAGCTTTTAACCATGTTAGAATATAGAATATCCTGTATTACCACATGAAATCACAAAGTGTAACAGAGTATTTTGTGTTTGAAAGAAGAACTCAGTCTAAATATGCAGGACTTGAGTGTTAAACATGTGAATGAAACAAAACACAACTCTGGGAATGTTTTTGATGGGAATACAACATTATAACATAGCGTAATATGGGCCCTTTAATTAGCTATATAAAAAAGTATTTAGATTCATCATTTGTTTTTGGTTAGAATAATCCAGAGTGCCTATTGCTGCCTCTACAGTTACCCCGCCCCCCGCCTCTCACCCTCCTGCGCCTGAGTCCTGCCTCTGTCCTGCTCTACAGGGACTAGCACTGGGTCACTTTGTCCTTGCTCCTGCCTCTTATCAGCACGCTCCATACATCTGCTGCACCATGGAGAGCTGGACCATTACTTGAACTTGGTTTGGCTCCCTGCCTTTGTTCAGACTACTTAACGCCCTTGCCAAGAATCTACTACGGCACTAATGCATTTGGATTTGTGAGGCTCACTGTGGAATCATGTGAGAAGCAAATGATAGAACAACAAACAATCAAACTAAAAAAAAAAACATTGTGTACAGCAAATGTTACTGTCATATGTCCAGTATTTAATGAGAAAGGGATTTTCTTTGCCTTTATCAGAAGAAACTAGCCACAATAGTAGGAAGAGTGTAGAAAGTAGAAATGTCTTTATTATTATTGTAAATTTGTTAATTATTATTAAATTTGTACTAATTGTTAGATGGAAGTAAGGTATCTGTGTATCTTTATTGACGGAGAATTTTCCATGCACTGTGACATCTCCACAGACATCTCCACAAGCTGCAACATCTCCAGCTTGGTCATTGTTGATGGTGTTTATTTGGATAGCTCTATCTACGACCTGCCCCATCAGAAGTTTTAATACACAATGCATGGCTAGACTTGGATTGGCAACAACTTCTCATCATTGTATGTCTTCTGCTGAGGTCTGAGCATTTTAGAATATTCACCTGCAATAAGGCCATGTTATTATCTCACCAGTCTCACCAGGCTGAAAGGGGATACGTAAAGGTGCATTGTGTAACTTTTGTGGCGAAAGGTCTGTCAAAACTTTTTTTTCCATAGAGATGTTATTGCTTTGTCTGGAATGTTTCACAGTATGGTATTAAGCCTTTCTATCTTCACGGAGACCAAACCAGACCAACATACAGGCCAGATCTGTGGAGAGGCAACCCTGCTCACAGTCACAATGCCTGTTTTATTTTTGAGCTATATCCTGTATTTGAATAAATGTAAAGTAGAGCTGTTTAATGTCATACAGTGGAATATTCTAGGCAGAGCAATGACACGTCCATAGAAACAAGCACCTATAGGACAGTCTTGTCAAGAAAACCAAGATCTCTTTGTGTTGAAAAATGAGGAGTTGAGTGTAGCTGGTCAGAGCTGTCAGCTGGAGTAGTGTATGGGTAATAAATAAACACATTGTCCTTGAAATACAAGTGTGAAGAATTCTGGCCTGAGCGACTTTGATAAAAGGCCATAAATGGCTAAATGACAGGGTGACCGCAGGTGGAAGGCGTCTGTAATATGTTGCAGCACCAGAACGTATGACAAAGGGTAAGAAATGATAGGTAAAGGTGCACTATATAATGTTTGGGTGAGCGTAAGCCACATGCTCCTCTCCATGGAGATGTTAGTGCTTTGCCTGCAATGTTCTAGCCAAGCTGGAGCCATCTAGTGCCTACTCTTACTTTCATTTCTCTCCAGTGACTAGATCAGGAATTGGAGTACACTGCACGGTTTACAAGAACCCCGGAAGTTGTAGACCTCACACCACCCAATCAGTGAAGAGCTGTGAAGCCATGACGTTAAATTCAAGCGCCTGTCTGGGCCCATTTTGTGGTACAGCACAACAGTAAACAAAGCGTCGAGATGGATGTAGACAAAGCCATTACATACGTCACAACCAAATAGCAGCGATTGGTTAAATAAAAAAAAGTACTTCCCTATCCATCCAGTGAACAAATTCTAATGCAGACAGTTTCCACAAAGTGAAACTGGCTGATGAATCAGGCTAGCAATGTGTCACCAGTATGACATTAGACATAACGATTTTACAATTATTCATTTCCAGGTGGTTTTATTGCTCAAAAATACTTGGGGAAGTATGCATTCTGCTGTAAGTGGGCTCGTCTCTCCACAGATCTGACTTGTAGCTTGGCTATGTGGCATCACCTGCTTTCTCCTTGGAGATAGATAAACTTTAATGCCATACTGTGGAACATTGCAGGAAAAAACAATTACATCTCCATGGTGGTGGACCCCTTACATAATGCACCTTTAAGATAAGTCAGTAATTGTTTCGTGGGGTTTATTAGAATATATTTTGCTAAATTTCATTTCCAGTCCAGTCCTTACCAAAACTGCGTTAGAACTGAATACTTGGAGTTACGAAACGTATTCATTCTAAAAACTTTGTTCAATTGACAGAATAAAACTAGTACTACATAAGCAGTGGGTAATGAAAAAACAAAACAAAAAACACTCTTTCGCCAGTACTACTTTTACCTCCTTAAAGCCACATTAACACAGCATGTGAGCTTTTTCTAGTTCAGTCTTGGTTCTTAAATAGGTTAAGTCCATTTGGAATACAAAGTGGTGTTCCTCAACGTCATGTCTGCGTAGTGTATAAATAAACACTGCAGTTCACTTATTCCAAACCTATAGAGACTTCCAAATGACTTCTAAGACATTTTACCACATTACATGACCACAACCTACTGATTTCTCACAGCATGCTCACCACAATGACAAACATACGATCTTATGGGGAAGTGGAGTGTTCAGTGTCACTCTCTAACTCACTCATGTGTCTCTTGCCTGAATGAACACTGCGCTTGGAGCTCAGAGCCTCATCTCCCACGGCGACCACCCCCGTCTGAGGGCATCATGTCAGCCTGATCAGCGCCCAGGCCTATGGGATACAGAGGCAGTCCCTGGGCCCGGGCAGCTGTCAGTCTGCCCTGCACTGGGAGGGGCAGATGTGTCGGATTGGTGTCGGACTTATTTTTACCTTCAACTTGCTTTGCAAAATGCAGCCATGTGAGCGTGCGTCACTGGAACTCTGTGTACTCAAACATGTAAAACAATAAGGAGGGTTGAATAATGTATATGTGCCTTATGCTTGCAAGAAGATGGAAATGTTGTATTGGCTTTTATAAGAGTAGTGTAAGAGTAATTTATTTACACATATGTTTAATAACCTTGTTTTGATAGAAAAACTTTTACACTTTGTAGATCTTGAGAAAGGATTCAGATCTAGAGTTGTTTTTGTACTTGTAAGATGCCATGTTAGTTTTTTGGGTACTTTTTACTTTTACTTCACTACATCTGAGAGCAGGTATTTGTACTTCCTGCTTGAAGACATTTTTGAACCGGACTGAAAAGTAAAAGTATATTTTATGATTGTTTGAGACCTGCTAAAAAGGCTGAGGGGTTCATGTTCAAAGTTTAAGCAAACAAAAATATACAAATTAAAACAGCTAGGAAAATAATTCAGAATAAATTTTACTCTTAAGTACAGTTTAAACAGGTACTTTAATTTACTTCTCCTACCACTGAGTATTGTAAAAGCATGTAGTTTTGGTTTCGGTAAACACTTACATACCAAATGTTAACCTGTAAAACGTCTAGCTCTCTAGATGATAACCAGTTTTCTGTGCATACCTTCACAGACTACAGTATAATCTCTCCCTGATTGTGCCTTGCAGCTCCAGATGAGTCCTTTGTGTCTCTCGCAGAGTTGGAGGATGCTCTGTTGAGAAACCTGTTTCGTGGGTACCAGAAGTGGGTCCGTCCAGTCCAACACGCCAATGACACCATCACTGTCCGCTTTGGCCTCAAAATCTCTCAGCTCGTCGATGTGGTGAGTACACACATTTTAATTTAGGATAACTAACCTTTCAGAACTATGATCTTTTTTGGGGAGTAAATTGAACTGCCATGAAGAATTTAAATAGAACTAGTTTTGTGGCCATTTACAAAAAACAACTCTTTCAGTTATTCTAGGGCTATATTCCCTTGTTAGTCTGGGCAATAAAAGAACATGCTCATTTCCAATTATAACAGTAATATTTAAAGTAAAGACAGAGCCAAAGCAAACATGAACCACACATCCTATCTATAATGTTGTTGGAGCCAGTCTGCTGCACAGGTTAAGAAGGCTTTCTGCAGAAATTAATTTTATCTTATACAAGGCACTTAATAAAATCCTGCCTCCTGAGGATTGGCCTTATTTACTGGAACACAAAGGGATGGAAGAATACAATGAGAAGGATGCAATAAAAGTGTGGGAATATATGGCAGCTGTTGAGGAAAAATACATACATATAGGTTTAATACAGTCCAATATATAAGGTCTGTACTAAATATTATTACTCTGTTTGCTGGTTTCAGATTACTTTTAAGTTAATGGAAAAATATGAAAATTCACATGTTTTCATATAATATAAAAGTAAATATAACCGATGAAAGAAAATAATGTAGATTTGGAACATTCTATTTATTTAGTTTACACAAATGTTGTTGTTGGCAGATTTTATTTGGATGGGTTGTCTATGAAAAATTTAAGAATAAAGTGCAGGGATGAGGTTTAAGAGGAAGTGAGCAAAAGCAGTACAAGACACATATTTACAGGCACAGACAGGACCAGACAGAGCAGAGGAGCAAGAGCAAGGAGGAAGAGAGAGGTGCAGAGAAGAGGAGACTGAGAGAAGGAGAGGAGGAGAGAGTGGGAGAGAGAAGCAGAGAGGAAGAGGGAGATGAATAGAGAGCGCAGAAAGCAAGAAAGAGGGTGAAAGAGAATCAGAGATGAACAGAAAGGAGCGAAGAGGAGGCGAGAGGGGGAGAGAAGAGCAGAGAGCAGCAGAAAAGTAAAGAGAGGGGGAGAGAGGATGAATTAGGAGCAGAGAGAAAGAGAGAGGTGAAAAAGCAAACCTGAAGTCATCCGAACATGTAGTAATGAGTCCATCGCTGGAAAGGAACCACTGCACATTAATTATTTACACACTCACTCGCAGGCCATACCCCCAATCACACTAAAGGCCACAATAGGACTACATCAGCATTTTAAGTCTGTATTGAATTAAGCACAACATTTTAGTCAAGTGCCATCTTGTGGACAATGTGGTGAGCTCGCAAGTCAACTGCTAAGGGCGAAAATGAAGGTGATGCCCAAACCTAAAGACAGTTTGCACAACTATATAAACACAGAATGTAACTGTAAAACTCTCTCTATACATGCTATACTTTGTGTACCTAAATACAGCACATTCTTATCAAAGTCTAAAGACCGCAGACACAAAAGTCAAAACCTGTGAGAACCAGGTTTTCATTCAGAAACACCAAGGTCCAAGTCTGACACAGTTTGGATGTGTTAAAAAGCACAGATTTGAAAATTGTGATCATTGTGGCCTAAATATTTGACACATATTTAGGGCATCTCACTCTCAAACCCTCAACAACAGTGTGATACTGGTCCTACACATCTCTGACTTCACACGTTAAATGTCTGTAAGTGTCATAGCATTCTCTGCTCAGTGGATGGTGATTAGATAATTTTCTAAATCTGATGACTGGGTTTATATTTGAACCACAATCTGTCCTTTTTACAAGAGTGTTAATTTTCAAACATTCTGAAATGTTTTGTGTCTAATGTGAATAGTTTCTTAAAGTGTGCTAAAGACTCAGAAAATGTGTCAAAGTGATTGAAAAAACTAAGCAAACTTTTTAAAAATACAATGTCCACAGACATCTGGAGGTAGCCACTGTCTGGTGCTGTCCATGGTGCTGAAGTCATTAACATTGCTTTTATTGTGTTAAATCTTTTGTTAATCCCGTCTCATGTGATGCAAAGAACAGTTTAAAAAATCCTTTATGTAAGATCTACAGTCCTTGCTTTTTATTTCCTTTCAGTTCTTAAGAATATGGTGTTGCGTTTGCAAAATTGGTCAGTACAAAATAATTCAGGTTCTGTTCTCGTTAAGTGTTGCGGATGTATGCCTGAAGCAAAGCATTTAACCCTGGGCTGTTCCAGTTTTCTGCTTTACTGGTGTCCAGAGAGGTAATTAGCCCCGTTTGGATAAAAAAAAAAAAAACCATATATATATATATATATATATATATATATATATATATATATATATATATATGTACTTCTCTTCCAACTAGGCTCATTTCTTTCCTTTTATCTTGTTAAAAAACATTTCATTTCCAGGCTCACCTCCTCATTAGCCTTTTCATTGCACAGTAAGCTTCTCTAAATTACTAAACTATGAACAAAATGTTTGCTTTTTTGTAGGATGAGAAGAACCAGCTGATGACCACTAATGTCTGGCTCTGGCAGGTAAAATGCTTTTGTGTGTATGTACTCTTCCTACATGTAACTGTGTTGAGTCACATGCCAATACCTCAAAACGGTTGCAACAATATGTAATTTTACGTTATTGCACCACCTGGCTTGCACTGTCTGCAGTGCTGCCGCAGTTTGTCTCATTACTGACTTTTAATTCACATCATTTAGTAAAACCCTGCAGATGTAAAAAAGTTCTAAATGTGCAAGTGGGCACGAGTCTCTTATCTTACAGTACAGAACTACTGCATTTATACTGAAATTAAAGATTGTCCTATATATAGCTACATGAGAAAGTGATCTATGTCTCCGAGGTTAGGGTTAATCTAATTCAGGGTTAAATGTTAAAGAAGCTAAATGTTTGTCTTTAATGTATTTCTGTATTATTTTTGACAGGAATGGGTTGATGTAAAACTAAAGTGGAACCCAGATGAATATGGCGGCATTACTTCTATCCGTGTACCATCTGAAACAATATGGCTCCCAGACATCGTCCTGTATGAGAAGTAAGCCACACTTAAATATATTGATCCTACCTGATACAGCAACCTACAGTGCTGTTCTTTTCTGCTTTATCCCAGTGCTGACGGACGTTTTGAAGGCTCCCTCATGACCAAAGCCATAGTGCGTTGGGATGGGACAATCACTTGGACACCCCCGGCCAGTTACAAGTCTTCCTGCACCATGGACGTCACCTTTTTCCCCTTTGATCGACAAAACTGCTCCATGAAGTTTGGCTCTTGGACTTATGACGGCAACATGGTGGACCTGGTTTTGGTGGATCATTATGTAGACCGTAAAGACTTTTTTGACAATGGCGAGTGGGAGATACTGAACGCCACTGGAGCAAAAGGAAGCAGGCGGGATGGGGTGTACTGGTACCCTTTTGTGACATATTCATTTATTCTCAAAAGGCTGCCACTCTTCTATACTCTGTTCCTGATCATCCCATGTTTAGGATTGTCCTTCTTAACAGTTCTTGTGTTTTATCTTCCATCGGACGAAGGAGAGAAACTGTCCCTGTCCACGTCTGTGCTAGTGTCGCTAACTGTGTTCCTCCTGGTCATAGAAGAAATTATACCTTCATCCTCTAAGGTAGGTAGGAAGCATTAGGGCTGCACAATTTTAGAAAAAGAAAGATCTAATTGGAATTTTTCTTTATGGTATGAGGTATTGCAGTTGCTGTTGATCATTTAAAATCCAATCCATCCAAGACCATTAACATTTGAGCAAAGACTGCTAAACGCATTTAATAATCCCATGCATTTGTAGAGGTTTTTTCTTGTTTTTTTTTCAATAACAGGATATTTTGCTGTTGGCATTCTATTACATAAATAATTCCAGTCTTTGTCATTTAATAATTGCATCTACTCAGTGATTTAATTGTTTTTTTGTTTGTTTGTTTTTTGCATCTATTGTGCAATGTTGTAAAAGTTTCCAAAATGTAATGAAACATATTTGAGAAAGACTAAAGAAAAAGCAAACAAACAAAAACTAGAGGAATTGTAGCTTTAAAGGAGAGTATGTTCACCCACCAGACTTGAATGAAGACATTTAGACATAGAATTTATACCTTCATCTTCAAAGTTGTAGACATGCTAAAGCTGCATAATTACCGTAATATTAAAACTACTATCTATCTTAATTGAAATCTTAATTGGTTTGACAGAGATCATTAGAGCACCAGAATCTATTACCTGCAGTGTTAATAGCTCTGCACATAATTAATATATTAATTGCCTTACACATTATGTAATTATTAACTATAAATTGCGGAAATACTTAAACCAATGGTATTTTTAAAAAGAAGAGATTGGAGATATACTGTTATAGATAGATAGACAGTTTATTTTAACATATTTGGTGTTGTGAATTTAGCTTTACTTTAGGTCATAAGGAATATCTGGCCCAATTTGACACTGTATGTTTTGTTTTAACATTACTATATTTTGTTACATTTACTTTTTATGCTTTTTAATAGTTACTAATGAACAACCAAAAACAAAAGGAACAAAGTGGGAACAAATTTACTATATGGTATTAATAATTTTCCTAATGAAGGAATAGGTCCAAATAATGTTTACCTTCTGTGAGTTACATACAGTTTGTCCTTTTTCTCCTCAGGTGATACCTCTAATCGGGGAGTACCTGCTCTTCATTATGATCTTCGTCACCTTCTCCATAATTGTCACTGTGTTTGTCATCAACGTGCACCACCGCTCCTCCGCCACCTACCACCCCATGGCCCCTTGGGTAAAGAGCCTGTTCCTGCAGAGACTGCCCCGCCTGCTGTGTATGAGAGGACACACTGACAGGTAACATGCTACACATGGACTTTTTACTTTTGCTGGCATTATACTCACATTCTCTCTAGACTAACTTTAAACTCCAGTGTTGATTTCACAAGTTTTTTGAGTTGTTTTGACACAAATCCATGAATATTCCAAGAATAATTAACTTACCGATAACTTACAGATAAAGTAATTATTTCAATAAATTGGTTGATGTTGATGTCTATTTTGCTAGATATCACTACCCTGACATCGAGCTGCGCAGCCCTGAGCCAAAACCGCGCAGAGGGGCGAGGAGGGGCGTGCCGGGACATAGCAGTGGGCAGCAGAGGTGCACCATGGGAGCCAAGGAGGAAGAGGACTGGCTGACGATGCTGGAGAAGGCCACTAACTCAGTCCGCTACATCAGCTGTCATATCAAGAAGGAGCATTTTATCAGAGAGGTGCCTAATTTTGGATATATTTAAATATTTGAGATGTTACATTTTTTTACCAAAATCCATAGATACAGTATACATGACAGATACGTCCCATTTACCCAACTAAAAACAAATGATGTTTCCCAGTTAAGACATTTTGTTGTAAGAGGTAAATTTACATATATTTTAAATTATTATTATTATTATTATCAACTTTTTTACAATATGATGACAGTGTTGCAACTTCCTCATCAATAGTGTATGCAACAATATTATTTCACTTTGGAAGATTCTCCTACTGTTGCAGCAAAAGCTATGTCTAAATGCTGCCATCTCTTGGTTGAAAAGAAAATGATCACACTGCAATAATTTATGAATTCTCAGCCATTAAAGTGCAGTGTGTAGCTTTCTGGTGAGGGACCACTACCGGGTAGTCTCCATGGAGATATTACGGTTTTGTCTTGATTATTCCACAGTATGGAAATAAACTTAATAATGGAGACAGACTAATAGTCAGGTCTATTGCGAAACAAGCCTATGCATAATAAGAGTTTATGTTTTTATTAAGATATTTTTGAACTATAAAACACCTGTAATTGAACAAATGCAAGGGAGATATCATTAATGCCCTACTGTGGACAGGCAGACAATGAAATAACATCTCCATGGAGACAAATAAGTAGTAGACTCTCATAGTGCACCTTTAAGAGTATCTATGATGAGTATTAAAGAGTTTAGTATAAAATGTTTCTCTGCTTTCCTGCACTCACTCCTGCTTTCCTTAACTCTTATTTTTCTGATGTTTGTCTTGTGTTTGATCTCATATAGGTGGTACAAGACTGGAAGTTTGTGGCTCAGGTTTTGGACCGGATCTTCCTTTGGGCCTTCCTCACAGTCTCCATCTTGGGAACCATCCTCATCTTCACCCCAGCTCTGCATCTGTACCTCAGCACACCATCATGAACAGCTCACTCAAACTACACCTCCCATAGTGTTCCTCACTTACAGTATGATTTATGAATAAAGCTCACTGCTATGTTCATACTGTACATTTGAACTGTACAAATCATTACCTCTGCACAGAGCAGCTTGCAGGCTGGACTGTCTGCAGAAACATAATGCAATTTGTCTACCTTGAGAGATGCAATTGAGTCAAAGCAATAAGCAAGTTCAAAGTGGGTTGATTTGAATATGTTAAAGATATGATTATTAAAGGTCTTATATTGTGTAAAATTTACTCTTGTGAGCTTTAGACCATGTTATAATGTTGTTACCTCATCAAAAACTTATCTGGAGTTGTGTTTTATTCATTCACACGTTTGAATAATATTTTGTCTTCATCTGCAAAGCTCAAAATGCTCTGTACTACCTTGCGATGTCATGAAGAGGTAGTTTTCAACAGCTTTTATCTTTAGTTCAATAAACATGATTCAAGTGAAGGTGCATGGATTTTAAAAACACAGTGGAGCATTTCCTGTATTACCACATGACATCGCAAGATGGAACAGAGTGTTTTCTGTTTCAAAGAAAAACTCAGACTAAATATGCAGGGTTTGTGTGTTAAAAATGTGTGAGTGAAAGAAAACACAATTGCAGGTATGTTTGTGTTGAGGAAACGACATTATAACATAGATCAGAAGATAGTGTAATATGGGCCCTTTAATGCAACAACTTACACAACCTCTTTTCATTAATTATTTATTTGTAATTAACATGCACCATTTTATCCTATAAGCTATGATCTGCAAAGATGTCATGTAAATAAAAATGGGTTTACAGATGTTGAAATTTGCTGGTGTTTTTTTTGTGTGTGTGTGATGACTAGATTCCACCACATGGGGGCAACAAACATCAATTTTCTATAACGTACTTCACCAAAATATCCACATGCATATTTCTAAAAGGCTTTGTGTCACAAGTATGTAATCATGTTTCATAAAATAAAGATTTTGAATTAAAAGGACACTACGTTTTATAGTGCAGGTTTCACAATGTTTTATTTTCCATGGAGATGTTTGTCTGGAATGTCCCTTAAAATGTCATAAAACCACTGGGATACACAGTTGAATCCACTAAACTCAAGTTATTTGGGGGCAATAAAAACACATGTAATTGAATAGATGAATCATAGGTACTTTTATTAGATACTGTGGAACATTTCATGCAAAGTAATAATGGTTATATGAAACAAGCAGGAGACAGACCCTGTTAGTGGCAAACCCCCTTAAGGTGCTAATACAGTTAACTATGTTATCATTGTAGGTTTGTGTCAGCGAAACACATAAGTCATCTTTGCTTATTACCTAGAGCTAGCTACCTCTAATCAGCTCTCCTCAACTCCACTTTTGAGAGAAAGGCAATACCACTAATAAATATAATGAGAGGAGACAGCATCTCCTGAGCACATCCTCTGTTGAACCTTCGCACTGTTACATTCACTTGTAGACAATATTGTGAACACTACTTCACTACTCCAAACACTTCATCTTACTGATAAAAATGCCAGTGCAGGTGAATGTTTTTATAGTTTCATTGACCCACTTTGAGTTAGACATTAGATTGCTTGCTGACTTATTCAAAATGTCTGCCCTCCCCGTCCCCCTGCGCTCCACAGTCTGACCCCAGCTCTTGTATTATTCACTACAGCGGGGCTGACTCTGGCACACTGGTGTGGACTGTGTGGTCAATGGGACCGTGCCAGTGCAAACACAAAGATCACAATGGTGATCAGCTGCAGGGACCCATACAAACAACAGCAAAATAATTATGTAAAAGTGAACTTGCTCCGACATTTTGCATTTCTAAAGATAAGTATAATATTTCAGTGGTTAGAGCATGACAACTTTATGAAGATGACATTGCTTTCCCATTAATGCCCCACAGTATTGCATTGCACCTATCTTACATTTGTTCAATTGCAGGTACTTTATGCTCAAAAAATACTATACTATATTTACTGTGGACCAGGCCTCCAATCTCTGACCTGTAACTTGGTCTGGGAGCACAACTGAAAAATTTACATTAAGCTCAGTGGGAAGCACCCTAGAAACATAAACCTAGCAGAAAGGCCTACATTGTGTTATATTTTATTACTGAATTACATTATAGACATAGATCAATTTCAAAGTGTTTTCCCCACTTTTTCTTCCCACTGTAACATTTACATTTAACACATCTATTATTGGACTTACTTACTCACTACTACTACTACTTACTTCTGCAAATTGAATTGGAATTTTTTTTTTTATATCAGCAGTATTTAGAGAACTATGGGGTGCAATATGTTTATATTTAACACTTTTTTTTAATATGGTTCCATTTCATTGTGCTTTCTATACAAAAAAAAAAAAGTGTAAACTGAATCCCAAATAGTTTAATATCAGTAACATCTGGAGTCCGGGGGTGCGGTATTTTCTCAAGGCTCACCAAATGCCTCCAGTTGCATTGAACGAGCTGAGATTGAGAAGGTGATCACTGAACACTCCAGGGAGCTCTGACCGTAGAACACATAGAGCAGCTCAATTTTCTGCTCCACGTCTGTTACTAGCAGAGTGGACCCGAGCTCATCTGGATGGAAAAGCCATAACACACATTCACACAAGGTCGTCGCCATCACATACATTGTTAATGAGGCTGCACCAGATTGTACATCACTGGGCTAAGGCTTCTGTACCTGTGTGAGGACCATTTTAGGGAGGGAGAGGGGGAGGCAATTATGGTGTCTAACTGACAGAATGGGCAGAGACCTGAACAGGAGGCATAAGTTTAAATCACGTGAGGTCATTCCTGTGTGTCCTCATATGTCAGCTTATATCCCAGGATTTTAATCAAGTATAATCAATCCTATAGGCTGTAGGCAAGTAACGCCAGCAGGCCAAGTTACAGGTCAGATCTGTGGAGAGATTACCTGGTAAATCCAGAATAAAACCTCTGTTTATTATTTATACAGATCGATATCAGTCTGGTCTCCACACCCTCCTCGGAATCTCAAGTGACTGTCAAAAGTGATTGTCAGATTTTTTTTTTTTTTTTTCAGTGACACATAAAGAATAAAGGAGCTTATTGGTCACACATAATTTACAAATAAAATCAACTTTATCACACCTCAGATTAACAGCTCTTTAAATGTGCAGAAATCTGTGTTTGTTTCAGGTCCTTCTGATTTATTTTTTCCAACACAATGGACAATGCATGTCCCTGATTGGCTACTCCATCTATCAATCACACTGAAAACTTGGAGATTTACAGCTCAAATCTTGGTGAAAGTATTGAAGAATTTTGTATTCTGGATCCCAGGGAAGTTGAAAGGTGACGCTGTGTGTACAATAAGATGTTCTTCAATGTGTATTTTTTTTAGTCCCATACTGTGGAACATTGGAGTCAAGGAAAAATTTCCATGGAAACAGACAGACAGGCAGATGGATCCGAAAAGTCACATTGTGCACCTATAAAACTTTTAGATCTTTTAGATACAAAAATAGACAAAAATTGTGACAATATATAATCCATGTTGTTATAATGGATTCTTGCTTCTATACAAAGAGCAGTGTTTGATATTACAAAAGCGGAACATGAGCTGAGCTGGAGCAGACAGTCTCCCCTATGCAGGTCTCCTCACACAGTTTGTGTTTGTGTGTCACTGCTGTAAACCTGAGTCAGAGGAGCTCCCTTGCTGTGAAAGGTTGCTGGGGACGTCCCAAAAGCAAAGCCGCTGAGCTCGAGGTGTGATCCTGCCTCTTAAAGAAAATACCAAAGCTTTGTTTAAATGACCTTTACTTCACTATGTCTGATATAGTAGCAGCTTTAGACCACTGCAATAAAAAAAGAAGAAATGAAAGAATGGACGTGTCTATCACAGTGTCAGTGTGCACCAGTGAGAACATTGTGGAAAGGTCACATTATTTGAGTGGTTCATATAATATAATAATGTAAATATTATATTCTTCAGAAATGATATGCTCAGCAGTTTTCATCCTCAGTGTTGAAACTTCCAAGTTAATTTGCTGTATTTGGTATTCATCATAGACTGTATAAAGAAATGGACTAAGTGAGTGTGGAGTCATCCATAGCGTTTGGCTCCAGTCAAATGAAGCTCACAGATGATGTTAGAAGTTATAGGGGTGAATTTAGGGACAAAAAAGCAAGATAAAAACAACAGAATCATGTAGAGCAGGTTAATACAAACATTATAAGACCAAATGAGGAGTCTGACAGCAGCTGTTATGGAGGAAGGAGCAACAAGGTTGATGGAGCTGGAAGCCGGAAGTGCCCCCATGTGCACTGTTTGTAACGCGGTGTTTAGCAGGGTAGCTATGTCTATTTATACATGCAGTTTATTATGCAGTGATATTAATATATTTTGTTGTTGTCATATTTCTTTTCTTTGAATCACTATTGAATAATAATTTCAATGTATGGTGGGTAGTGTTTCCTGTTGCAGGGCTGAGACATGTACAACCACTGGCTCTTTCATTTACAATGCGTTTTTCTGACTTTTATCCTTGTATTATTACAGTGGGAGGTAACTTGACCTAGCCTGATTCATCAACCGGATTTACTTTGTTTCACTTCGTACAAACCGTCTGACCTCACAGCCTTAGATTTTGTTCGCTCGATGGTATGCGGGTACTTATTATCATTTAACCATTTGCTGCTATTTGGTTGTGATGTATGTAATGTGCTGCTAATGGGGCTAACTGTTATATTAAGTTTTTCCCAAATCCCGTAGGAAGAAGGACAATAATGTCTTTCCACTTGATAAAATTCACCAAACATTCTCTTTATTCTGGCTTTAAATCCTTGATCTCAGGAATCATTTAGTGCAGAATATATGGCTCTTTGCTGATTGGCTGGTGCCCGAACTTGCACTTCCGGGGGTTTTGCGAACTGTTTAGTGTATTCTGATTCCTGATCTAGTTGCTGGAGAGAAATTAAATTGAGCGGAGGCATTAGGTGGCACCAGT